CCAAAAAGCACAGATACCTTCTGAGAATTAATCCCCAAAACCCCAAAACCCCAAAACCCCTCAGTGGGTTATAGGTCGAAAGTGAGTAAAATAAGAAATTTAAATAGTATTATAAAATGTTCGGGCCTTAACCAACGCAAAAAGAAAAGTAATTTTGATAATTAAGTGAATTAGCAATAAAAACTTCATGAGAGCAAATCTAAAAGAGCTCAGGAATCTTGAGAATCAGGTTAAGGAGAAGAAGGAAGTCAATGATAATAAAAATGGTAAAATCCATTATTGAGTCATAATCAAATTTACTTATTTAGATCAGTTATTCAAGTCAAAGAAATATCAAAACGTAGAATCTAGATTCAAGAGTGAGACTGATTAGAAAGTATTATCTAGAAGAAACACTTATGAAGGTTTTAAGAATTCAGCGATGCAGTAACTTAACCTGAATTCTACTGGTAGAGATCAAAACTCAAATCCTGCTAAAAGCATTAGCAGCAATGGTTACAATAATCAGAGAGAAGTAAACTACTAAGCACCTAAAATAGAATATGATGCAAGTGAGCTTGAATCTAAGAGTCCTGAAGAACTTGATCGAATTCTCTAATAAATGGAGGATTACAGCAAAGCTACTTATAAAATTTATGGCAGCTAGGCTCAAAATGTATTATATCTATTTTTATCATTATGATTTATCAGACTCCTAAATACTCGGAGCATGTTTCTGGCACTAAGTCTAGCTCGCTTATTAATGACGAACAAAGAAAGCCTCCAAGACACTCATCAAGGCCCCCTGTTTCTAATAGCACATAGATGAGATAACAAAATCATGGTGGTAATTAAGAAGAAAGAAAGCATAAAAACTTTGGCAAAGTCCCATCATAGTAAATTGATAAACTTATAATTAACCCTCTTTATAGTCTTTAAAACTACAAAGCTGAAAAGGATGAAATTCAAAGAGAAATGTATATAAATTACTCATTTGATAATATTTATAGTGAGCGAGAACTTGAAAAAAAGAATTGCCCACCAGGCACGAGACAATTAGATGAGGAGGAAAGATTAAGAATGCTATAAGAGCTAGAGGCTAGTAAAAATGAACTTGTGAATTAAATGGAGAGACTACCTATCTCGATGAAGACTTTGAGCATGCAAAAGCGAAAAGATGACCTAGAAGAACAGATAAGGAGCGTCGATAAAAATATAGCTTTGTTTTCAAAGAAAAAGGTGTTTGTTGCCATTTGAAGATGACAATGAATTCATCACTTATGTGAAAATCAGCAAGATTTGATTCTGATGCAGCAATATATACATGAATTAATATATTTATAAGTTAACTTTATTAAATCATAGCTTAGTACAATTATTTCATTCGGCTATTAAATGAGTGCTCGCTATATTATATTCTTGATTTTCCTATTGAAGTTCATGAAGCAATGTGCAGCAATAGCTTGGATGTGATATTTTTCCAGCATCCCCATTCAGTCCATGGAAAGCATTTATTCCATCACTGTGAGAGACTAAAATAATAACCTATTTCAAAGATTCCTACTCAATGAAATGGCTTTAAATAATGTCTTTAAATCCTTTAATATATCTTTACTTTGAAGTTTCCTCTGGAAAAGTGGGTCTGTCTAACTTTGCAAGTGCATCGCTAACAATATCCCCCACTTTTTAATCCAAATAATCAGAGATAACTTTCTTTAAATCATACTTAGCTAGTGTTCCCTTTGTCAAAGGATCTTACTTCATTTTAGCAGCTAATTTAACACAAATGCTAGGATTTGTAATAAGAGTTGTATCAGTCTTGCCAGTTATTCCAAATTAAAGATAAGCAGCTGTTTAAAGTGTTCTTATGAATGGAGAGACAATGTATTTAATTGAGCAGTCTTCATAGCCTAAGCTTTTAATAACCTCTTTGATATTTTAGCCTGCCTTAAGAGATTGTTATTTACCATTCTTACTAAGCTAGGGATCAAATGCGAATTCAATGAAATTAGGCTTTTTTCCAGCTTTCTACTTAACCTCATCAAGCCTTTCCCCATGTCTCACAAAGAACAGTAAACAGCTTTTTTTCTGAGTCGATTCCATTAATTTTGTATTTAGTTTAAATATAATCAAATTTTAATAAATAGTCAATTAGATTTAATAGATACTTATCATTAATATTTTGATGTGTCATTGATCTTGAAATAGCACACTCCGTAGTCGCTCGAACATGCTACAGCTTTACCATACATACAGATATAGTAAGGATACCCCATGCCAAACAGATCCTTGTCCTTTAGGTCAGATGGCACATCTTTACAGTCTCTAATTCTGTGTTGAAATCCTGAGTTCTTTTTATTAACAAAGCTAGTTTTGTCGCTAAAGATGTAAACAATCTCACTTTCATCGACGCAGCAGTATTAAAATGTCTCATCCTTTTGACTCTTTTGTTCTTCGATATCCTCTCTTATCTCAATGCCAATCTAATCATTTCTCTTGTTTTCCTCAATGTTTCTATCGAAGTCTCTGATCTTATTGTGACTAACAAAAGTTGCCAACACTGAATCTTTAGTCTGCCCAATGATTTTTTGGCTCTTTTATCTCATGTCGTATTTCTATGACAATCATTTTAAAAAGACTTACGATAATTTGGTTAGTATTTTTGACGAAAAATAACCAATCACCTAAGAATTTCATATGAGAAATAAGTCCATCTCTCTTAGTGAAATGAATAATTTCAGCTTTAGTCTTGGTTTCAAAATAATAAATGTAGACTACTCTCTCGTCTTTAGTCTTATATTCCATCCATCTAAACATGTTATACTTATGAATGACTCACAATAATCTCTGACCATCAAAGTCAAATGGGACTGTATTCTAGGAGAATTTAACTTGACTTTCTTCCCCGTAGTTTTCAAGAATGTTTGTATTAAGATTGCTAAGCATAATTGGAGGGTTTTATTCAGCTTGGTCTTCTCCTTTATCTAATTTGTGAATGCTATTGATTTTACCTTTTCCGCCCATATCAATTGTGAGGACGCAGTTATAGTGTGAATAACTAAGAGTGAAAGACCTCTCACAGTTAGCTTTGTGAACTTTCTCCTCGATATTTTCAACAATCTAAACATAATCAATGACATTCAAATCCTCTTCACTGAGTCTTTGACAACTGATATCTCCAATACTGACAAAAATATCTTCTCCCTTTTCTGAATGTGAGATCTAAACAAAATAAGCATTTACGTAAATCATAGAAAAATTACTCCTCTAATCAGTTCAGGCTAACTATCTGAAAGAGCTTGATCTTTATCATCCTTTATGTTATAAAATGCTATTCTACCCATTGCACTGCCATAACAAATGTGTCTAGCAGAGATGTCTAAAGCTGTAACAGGGTCTGCAAATCTGGTTTCAATTAATTTTTGAAAATTCATCTCTATTTTCCTTGCTTTAGTTTTAATAATTAACTTTATAATTTTCAAGTTTCAATAGATTAAAACTAACTTTGGGGTTTTGGGGTTTTGGGGTTTTGGGGTTTTGGGG